GTTTTCAATAACACTTTGGCCTATACTGTCACCTTCCTATCTTATAGGATTACATAATAGTCTTGCATAGTGCGGGAATACAGTAAGTATTGCATAAATGTCATTTTCATCTTTCCCTCAGAAATATGAGAAAGTCTCTATATGGAGGACACCATTACCATTCATTGGAACTGCTTCTTTATTATCCCAAATACTCGGGCACTTCTGCTCTGCCAGTATCCTCATTTGGCCCATCTAGCTTTGCCAAAATTGCAATAAGGGTAAGCCTTTTGTTTCAAAGGAATGACAGCTATTAGGGTTGAATGGCCTACTGAAGTGCCATCAGCACTAAGGTTCTTGACCATTAAAGTCTGTTGAAGCCCTGTTAAAGTTGTTGACTCTTTCAAAAACATCACCCGTAATTTCAATTAAGAAAATGAAAAAGCAATGAAGTGATCTAAAATCTGTACTGAATGGCTTTTTTTCCCTCTGGTAAGGACTCAACTGATAAGCCAATGGATAACGTGAAATTCTTAAACCTTAAATCTCAAAGACTCATTAATTTCCCCCATGAAATGATACATACAGATTCCTGAGGAATGCAGAACATCAAAGGTACTCTGCTTCTCTTTTACTTCCACCTCCAGAGCCAGTTACAAGCCATTATGGGTCCCGGGGCACAAGGGGAGGATACAAATAACAAATAAATGCTCTGAACTATCTAGAGTAGACTCAGTGTAACCATCCAGGCTTTAGGCAGAAATAAGGCCCTAGGGCTTATCCAAGAAAACCTGAATTCCTTGATCAGTCCCGAAACTACCCTAGGCTTCCTATTGGCCTATCTGCGTACTGGGGTAATTGTAAGCCAGACTACACTTGGCTTGCCAGATTCTAAATCTCCTCCATGAGGCTTTCTTTCCTCTGAGACACGGGAGTATGGACCTCAACATTGGCCGGCTACTCTCTTCTCGAGGCCAGAACCAGAGCTTCGACAATCATAGGGCTTTGGGATAGCCTTAATTTGGAATTCTTCTGTTAATCACTAACAATTTAAAATCATCTACATTAATTCTCATTGCTTTGCTGCAATAAAAAACACTAACTCAGAGCAGCTTTATATGCAAGATATTAAACCAAGTTAAAAAAAAAGTAACTCCTGACATAAATATATCATAGGTAAAGTGGCAAAATCTCAAGAATAGGAATTACTTCAGGAATATTTTCTCAGAATTAAGATAAAATCAAATTATCCTTTTTTTTTTAACGATTTTATTTATTTATTTGACAGACAGAGATCACAAGCAGGCAGAGAGGCAGGCAGAGAGAGAGGAGGAAGCAGGCTCCCTGCTGAGCAGAGAGCCCGATGCGGGGCTCGATCCGAGGACCCTGGGATCATGACCTGAGCTGAAGGCAGAGGCTTTAACCCACTGAGCCACCCAGGCGCCCCTCAAATTACCCTTTTGATAGTGAATTACTTTCCTCATGTAAATTCACACTCAAAAGCAAATGAAAGGCAAACCTAGGTTAACTTTTTTCTTTAATATATCAAATAAAAATGTTGCCTTGGTCCGGGGCGGGGGAGGAGAACCATTAAATAGAACAGGTGGGGGCTTAAAAATGTAATAACAAATACAGATGTAAATTTAAAAAGTATTCCTGTGCTGCCTTCTTGCTATTTGGCTAAAACACCTCCTTCACTTTAAATCATCCTGTGTTTACCAATATTTATATTTTTTGCTAGATCACAGCCTCTAACTTTTTAGAAGTAGAGTGCAGGTTATTAAATTGGATTCTTCCTTTGGCACTCACCTTCTGACACACTCCACTAAAGTTGATATTTATTTATATTGATAACTACCCCTTTTAAAAACAAATGCATCTGGGAAAGATTAATTCTATATTACCTTTCAATTAAGCCTCAAGGAAAAGAGGAAGGGAGAAAGAAAAGGAGGGAGAAAGAAGAAAACAGAAGAGGATGAGAGAATCATGTCTTAAGGGAGGTAGGGTAGGAAATCAGCCAGAGAGTCTTAGACCTGGGGCACCTGGGTGGCTTAGTTGGTTAAGCGTCTGCCTTTGGGCTCAGGCCCTGATCTCAAGGTCCTGATCCCAGGGTCCTGGGATCGAGCCCCACATGGGGCTCCCTGATCAGTGGGGAGTCTGCTTCTCCCTCTGCCTCTGCACACTCCTTCTGTCTCTGTCTCTCTCAAGTAAATAAATAAATAGAATCTTAAAAAAAAGAAGAGAGAGAGAGAGTCTTTGACCTAAGTAAATAAAATGGGAAAAAATGCCTTCACTGGAGACATTGGAGTTCATATAATATCCAGCAAAAGCTGCATGTTAAACCTGTGCCACAGACAGATGCTATATTAAACAACGTTAGGATATATCAAAGTAATAATATGGGTGATAAAGTTATCAAGAAGTCAGAATTGACACATGGAATGGATTAAATAAAATTTACTCGAAGACTTAAAAAGCTCCATTCTAAACAGTTTACTGAAGAGTCTCTTCAGTGTTAAAGGTTTTTGCCAGCTTTACAAATGAGGGTCTCTCAAGGACATTCAGGTGGGTGAAATAATTATGAAAGCCACGTGTTTATCAGTATTTAAAACATGTGGCCCAATATATACTCTATGCTCTAATTTAAAATACAATATAAGGTTTTAATTTTAGAATCCTCAGAGCTGTCACTTCTTAGTGTCTTTGCCATGTTTAAACCAGCCAGCTACTTCCTTTAACACACCAGAAATACAAGGCAGAGAGGAGATTCTTCAAAATGAAAGGTTGGGGGACGCCTGGGTGGCTCAGTCGTTAAGCGTCCGCCTTTGGCTCAGGTCATCAAGCCCCGTGTTGGGCTCCCTGCTCAGTGGGGAGCCTGCTTCTCCCACTCCCACTCCGCTTGTTTGTGTTCTCTCTGTCAAATAAATAAAAATCTTTAACATAAATAAATAAATAAAATGTAAAGTTTGCCAAACTTCTTTGCCACAAAGCAGTTTTTTACGAGACCACTTAACTTTGCTCCAGTTTTAATACTGGCTTCACTCAATATCATGCTTCTATCAACTTTAAGTGCATCAAATGCTAGGTACTGAGGTTACAAAACTGTACAAAGCAGAATCTCTCGGGATGCCTGGGTGGCTCAGTCAATTAAGCATCTGCCTTAGGCTCAGGTCATGTTCCCAGGATCCTGGGATGGAGTCCCAAATCATCAAGTTCCTTGCTCAGTGGGGAGCCTGCTTCCCCCTCTGGCAGCTCCCCCTGCTTGTGCTCTCTCTCTCTGACAAATAAAATCTTAAAAAAAAAAAAAAAAAAAAAAAAGAATCTCTCCCTTTGAGGCAGTCATAGTCATTCAGCAGAAAGAGACATATGAACAGATAATTGCAAAACTACCTGAGTAAGTTTTACAAGAGAGATGAACACAGCATTGTTCAAACACAGTAGTAAAAGCCACTAAGTCAGCCTGGAGGACTATGCAGAGCCTGTTAAGGAGGATCTGACATTTAAATTCATCTGCAGTGAGGTAGTTAGGTTAGTCAATCTGTAAAGTCCCTTCTATTTAAAAAAAAAAAGGTAGGACAAAAAAATTGAAGGTCATGGAAATCTTGTTTGTCAAAAACGGTTGATGCAGATTATTTCAGTTTGTTGTTTATTAATCTAATCTCTGTATCAAAAACAGAATATTTTACTCATACAATCCTCATCTTCTCTCCCAAACTTGTCCTCTTCCTATATTCCCTTTCTTGGTAAATAGTAATACTATCTAAAACTTAACCTTCCATGGTCAACTAACCACCAATTTCTACTGATTCTACTCCCCAGAGTCTCTGTATACTACTTCTATCTCCAATAGTTACCATCATCCCTTACATTGGAAGCTTCCAATAGCTTCCAAAAGAGTTTTCTTGCCTCTGAGATTTCTTCTCCCAATCAACCAAGTGTTCACATTATGGCCAAAATGATTTTCCAAAGCACAAATCTGATCACATAACAACCCATCTTAAAAATCACTGAACTGGGGGCGCCTGGGTGGCTCAGTGGGTTAAGCCTCTGCCTTCTGCTCAGGTCATGATCTCAGGGTCGTGGGATCGAGCCCCGCATCTGGCTCTCTGCTCAGCAGGGAGCCTGCGTCCCCCTCTCTCTGCCTGCCTCTCTGCCTACTTGTGTTCTCTGTCAAAAAAATAAATAAAATCTTAAAAAAAAAAAAAAATCACTGAACTGCTTCCCATTGTCCTCAGAAGCAGCCCAAACTCTTCAGCATAGTTGCCAATATCTGGCTTGGCTTGCATCCGGCTATCATCTTCAATACAGTCCTCATACTGAGTCTCTTGGAGTTTTCTCAATATACAGTACTCACTCACCATCCTCTGTAGAGCCTTCCAAAACTGCCTCAAAAGAAAATTAGAGGACTCTCCAAAGCAATCTTTCAGGACCTTCTGCTTCTCCATTACCATACTCACCACACTATACAGTATTTTAATTACCTGTCTCCCCCAGGAAGCTGTAAGCTCCTCAAGGACAAAAACTACATCACACATTCTTGTATTTCTTATCTAAAGCAGTATGCCTGCCTGGCACTGACATATACTTCATGCTCGATAAAGATTTGTTGAATGGATGAATAAATGAACAAATGAATGAAGAAACTGCAAAGAAAGAGAAATCCAATGACCGACAATTTGTCATAATATTTAATAGCTACACTACAGAAACCTTTATTCTGTCTACCTATAGCATGACCATATTTAAATCATGAGCCTATCACAGTTAACCTGTTTTCAGAAACATAAAGGCGGCTACACCATAAACTCAAAATTCAGATGTTTTTTATGATGTCCTCCAGTTTAGACAGTATAAACTTACTATTTAAGTCTTTTTTTAATACATATATAGCAGAATCATGATATCCTATACATTTAAAAAATAAAAATATAACTACATACATACTATTACATTATTTTCACAGGTAAAACATTGAGTTTGCTTTTTAACGTAAATGAAAGCTGCACTCATCACTGACTCACCGATTCTTTTCCAGCTCATTGTGTGTAGACCTAAAAGGAAAACAAAAAAGACCATTTAGCCACTTGTTGCTAAGGCTATGGAAAGGGGGATTCGTTACTGCTATACCACACCCAGCGAATTTCTTTAACAATGCAATATATAGTCAGACTTCTACAATCTCACTCATCAGGAAGAAATAGTCTACATTCAATAGAACTATTTATTCGGATATGGTGTCTTCAGCTAACAACTAACTCTTCTGACACTGGTGTTTCACTCTTATTTTCATAAAATTAATACTAGCACATGATCTCTTGCCTACTTCTAATATCCTACATTTTGTTTATTTGTAGATTTTTAATTCAAACATTATCCCATTTTTTTAAAAAAGAAAAATGTACTTCTATGTCCTCTTCTACCTCTACTTAGTAACTCCTAAACAGAGGGAGAAAAAAGTTTTGGCTAGCACAGAAGCTGACAGGTTTGCCTTACTGCTAAGTGATACAAATTCAAGCTTTCCTGCCATTTGTGTAAAACATAAAGTTATACAATGAAGAAAATAATATAAATCAAAGAAAATATATTAAAAAAATCAAGAAACACACTTTTAAAAGACTGGGAAGATACACCTCAAAATGCTAATAATGGTTATTTTCTTTTTGGGACTATTTTTCATTTTGCTTATCAGTATTTGTTATAATAATACTCATCATCTACTGAACAAGTATAGTGTCTGCTAAACAGTGTGTTAAGCAGTTAACATACAATATTTCATTTTACCCCTAAACAACCCTTGTTTTCTAAGTAAGAATGCTTATATTCTTCTTTACATAAGATCTCTGAGCCTCTGAGAACCTCTGAGAGGTCGAGACATGCTCTTGTCCCCAGAGTAGAAGTAGTAGCTTTGATTTAAGCCCAGGTCTTTCTTACTCCAAAACCCAAATTCTTTTTTCTTAAGTTTTTATTTATTTATTTAAGAGAAAGAGAAAGCACAAGCAGGGGGAGGGGCAGAGGGATAGAGAGAGTGATAAGTAGATTTCGCACTGAGCAGGGAGCCCAATGTGGGGCTTAATCCCAGGACTCTAGGATCATGACCTGAGCCAAAGGCAGACACTTAACTGAGTGAGCCACCCAAATGCCCCAAAACCCAAATTCTTTTTTTTTAATTAACATATAATGTATTATTTGCTTCAGGGGTACAGGTCTGTGAATCATCAATCTCAAAATCCAAATTCTTAACTACATGGTGAAGAGAGGTTAGAACACAGAGGCTAAGGCCAGACTGCTGGGGTCAAATAGTGTGTGGCCTAAAGTGCCTTCATCTCTCTGTGCTCAGTTTCCTCATCTGTAAAATAGGAAAAGCGACAGTATGTGTCCTCACATCATTGTTATGAGGAATAAACAACTTTATACTGAAGAGCAAAATATAACAAAGTCTAAAGTTAGTTATTATTAGAATTATGTTACGAGCTCTCTTAAATGAACATGTACTACTTTTACAATAATTTAGCATTAACAATAATAATAATTTTATATAAGAGAATTTAAGTTCCTGTCACCAGAACTAAAACTTTAATCATTTAATATATCCTGGTTAATGCCAAATGTTTTCAGAATATCACATTACTGATTACTTTAATCTGATTTATTATTCCAGTGGATATTTAAAAATTACATTACTAAACTTTAACAATAGGAGTGTTTTTGTCAGTCTTATAATTTGTAGAAATTTTACCCACTGTTATAGTTCAAAAGCCAAAAGGCTTCTTTGAGTTACTGTATCCTATCCATTTTTTGCTTTCTTAATGGTATAAGGTCCAAGTGACAGAGGATGAAAAAGACTAAAGTTCATTTTCAAGAGATTATCTTAATAAAAGAATTTCTCCCTTAAGAGGCTAAAAAAAGAAAAGAAAAGAAAAGAAATTTTTAAGATGCTTCAAGAGTTCAGCCAAATGAACATAAAGGATATGCATAATTCAGATGAAAGAAATCATAAAAACACAGAACTTCTACTTTAACAGACCCAAGAGCTCAAAACCTAATAAATAAATTACAACCAAATCTCTATCACTATATAATTATTTATAAAAACTTCTTTTTTAAGATTTTATTTATTTATTTGACACAGAGAGAGAGAGAGATCAGAAGTACAGAGATAGAGGGGGAAACAGGCTCCCTGCTGAGGGATAGGCTCCCTGATAGAGCCCAATGCGGGGCTCTATCCCAGGACCCTGAGATCATGACCCGACCAGAAGGCAGAGGCTTAACCCACTGAGCCACCCAGGCACCCCTTATTTATAAAAATGTTTAAGTTCTTTTTTGTCAAAGTAAACCAGTAAATCAGAAGAGGAAAAGGACATATCTTAAACAGATTTAAAATAAAGAATATTGTTCAAAATTTGAATGGGTATTCAATAATGAAATTCCCCAACCCCTCATAGTAAGTTTTGCTTTAATTTCCTTTATCTGAAGAAAACTTAGAACAAGTGAAACAAACAATGGAATACTAAAGTAAGTAATAAACGGAAACAATCTGTTTAGAGAGAGGTAGACTATTTACCATAAACTTTTTCTAAACAGTTTGGAAATCCCACACATGGCCATAAATACAAAAGAATATATACATCCAAAGACAACCAAGTGTTGAATTCCAATATTGTATTAAGCCTATTATCAAAGCTAGCACCAAAAGAACATAATCTGACCCACTGCTGTGAACAAAATTAAAACAGCAGGTTCTACCCACCTCTCTCAGACTTTTATTTCTCTTCTTTCTAAAAAAATATAAAATAGCCAAGAATATGAACTTTTCCACCAAACCAAGAATTACATGTCATATTTAGTTATACCACGAGTAACATTTAACATTTTCGAATACCAAGAAACAAAAATGATCATGTATGTACTAATCTTTACCATACTGTTATGATCTTCCAATTTTTAAAAAAAAATGCATCAGTAGTACTTCTATTTTGGTGGCTTTTGTACCTGTAATCTCAAGTCAACAAATACTTCGCTTCTTTAAGACTGTCTTAGGCTACAGGGAATCAAAGATAGTCTCTAGTCAATAAATTTAAGACATGTATAAGAATAATTATTATTCAAGGCAAAATAAATATATGAAGAAAAGTACAAAGTATTGTGGGAGTTTAAAGTAGGCAGAATTCACTTCCAAATGTGGCTTTCAGGGTAAATCTTAGGAAAAGGTGGCATTTGGTATGAATCTTTTTTTTTTTTTTTTTAAATTTTATTTATTTATTTGACAGAGAGAGATCACAAGTAGACAGAGAGGCAGGCAGAGAGAGAGAGAGGGAAGCAGGCTCCCTGCTGAGCAGAGAGCCCGATGTGGGACTCGATCCCAGGACCCTGAGATCATGACCTGAGCCGAAGGCAGCGGCTTAACCCACTGAGCCACCCAGGCGCCCCTGGTATGAATCTTAAATGATGACTATTTGCTACCAGTAGAAGCTGGACCTGGTAGGGAGAGGACATACCAAGTGGAAAGGAGCGTAAGTAAAGAAGCACAGCTGGCCCACTACTACATGGTCAACTAATTTTCAATAAAGCGGGAAAGAATACCCAATGGAAAAAAGACCTTACAACAAATGGTGCTGGGAAACTGGACAGCAACACACAAAAGAATGAAACTGGATCATTTTCTTACACCATGCACAATAATAAATATGAAATGTATGAAAGAATTAAATATGAGAAAGGAAACCATCAAAATCCTACAAGAGAACACAGGCAGTAACCTCTCTGACATCAGCCATAACAACTTCTTTTTTTTTTTTTTTTAAGATTTTATTTATTTGTCAGAGAGAGAGAGAGAGAGTGAGCACAGGCAGACAGAATGGCAGGCAGAGGCAGAGGGAGAAGCAGGCTCCCTGCAGAGCAAGGAGCCCGATGCGAGACTCGATCCCAGGACGCTGGAATCATGACCTGAGCCGAAGGCAGCTGCTTAACCAACTGAGCCACCCAGGCGTCCCAACCATAACAACTTCTTATGTCTCCTGAGGCAAAGGAAACAAAAGCAAAAATAAAATACTGGGACTTCATCAAGATAAAAAGCTCTGTATAGCAAAGGAAACAATCAACAAAACTAAAAGTTAACCTTTGGAATGGGAGAAGATATTTGGAAGTGACATATCTGATAAAGGGTTAGTATCCAAAATACATAAAGAACTTCTAAAACAATCTAGTTTTAAAAAAAAAAATGGACAGAAGACATGAACATTCTTTCAAAGAAGACATACAGATGGCCAGCAGACACATGAAAAGATGCTCAAACGTCATTCATCATCAGGGAAATGCAAATCAAAAACTACAATGAGATATCACCTCACACCAGTCAGAAAGGCTAAAATTAACAGCACATGAAACAACAGATCTTGGCAAAGATACAGAGAAAGGGGAACCCTCTTACATTGCTGGTGGGAATGCAAACCAGTGCAGCCACTCTGGAAAAGAGTATGGAGGTTCTTCAAAAAGTTAAAAATAGATTACCCAAAGGATAAAAAAAATACTGATTCCAAGGGGCACATGAACCCCGATGTTTATAGCAGCATTATCCACAACAGCCAAACTATGGAAAGAGCCCAAATGTTCATCAAATGATGAATGAATAAAGAAGTTGTGATATATGTATACAATGGAATGTTACTCAGCAATAAAAAAAGACTGAAATAGTTCCATTTGCATTGATGTGAATGGGCCTAGAGAGTATTATACTAAAAGAAATAAGTCAGAGAAAAGTAAATACCATATAATTTCACTCTTAGATGTGGAATTTAAGAAACAGAACAGATGAACATGGTGGGGAAAGAGAGAGTGAGGCATACCATAAAACAGACTCTTAACTACAGAAAACAAACTGAGGGTTGCTGGAGGGAGGTGGTAGGGTGATGGGTTAAATCAGTGATGGGTATTAAGGACGGTACTTGTGGGAGCACCTGGGTGGCTCAGTAGGTTAAGCCTCTGCCTTTGGCTCAGGTCATGATCTCAGGACATCGGGCTCTCTGCTCAGCAGGGAGCCTGCTTCCCCATCTCT